ATTGGGTTTCTGTCTGGATGGTCTCTTGTGACGAGCCTATTGACAGAGAGTGGAAGGGGGACCTTCCTCCCATACTTGGGCATACCAGGGGTTGTGACTTTAAGTATATATATATAGAAAGGCTCAAGACCTTGAGGAATTTCACAGGAGTTCAATATTCTCACACGACCTCTTGAAAAACCTCAAGGATATCAAAAGGACAGGTTCTACTGCCTTTCTTGTAATAGGATTATTATTAGCAGCCAATTAATCACAAAGACACACAATGAATTCCATTCAGCACTGTGAGATTGGCCATAACTGCTGCACGTGAATCCCTAAGTATGTTAGGGTTAGGGAAATGAATGAGAGATGAGAATCTTGAGACACAGGCAGAAGCCTAAGGATGGGTGCTAAATAGCAGGGAAAGTTTACTCTGGAGAAGTAAAACCAGTTTTGTAATATTTTATAGCAACCTCAGTTTAAACAAGCTATGAGTTTAATGGACTGTCCAGGATCTATTCGTTTCAACAGTGTTTCTGGCTATTTTCAATATGGCCTTGAGAAACAGGTCTTCAGTATTACGCCGATAATCTGCAATTGACAGGAAAATATACTTAGGATCAAGATAAAAAGAGTTAGGACGAACTTTGCCAACCTAGTACATTATAGAGCAGGGGTGTCAAACTCAAGGACCGCAGGCTGAATCCAGCCCACAGGGCGCTTAAGATTTAGCCCACGGGCCCAGCCTGGAAACAGCAAAGGACCAGCCCTCAGTGCCTCTCCCGTGAAAATGGAGCTCGGGGAGGCCATGTGCGGCCTGCCAAAGCTCCATTTTCAGCCTCTTCCAGTCCTCTGCTAGCGATCTCCATTTTCACTGGCAGAGGGCTGCAGGAGGCTGTCGTGGCTGAAAACGGAGCCTCGATGAGTGACGTCGATCTGGCCATGCCCTTCTGGAGGTCAAACAATAATCCTAATGCGGCCCTCAATGAAATTGAGTTTGAAGGGAGAGACCAGGAGAGAGGGAACAGAGGGGAGGAAAAGAGTAGGAGAGAGAGAGAGAGAGAAGGAGTGGAGAGAAGAGAAGGAGAGAGGAAGGGGAAGTAGAGAAGAGAGGAATAGTAGAGGGCAGAAAGGGGGTAGGGAGGAGGAGGCAGGATGGCAGCGGATAGGGTGTAACATGGTGTATGGAAAGCAGAAGAGCAAATGATAGTTGCTGTGGGTTGATGGGAATAGGAACTGATATAATATTGGATAACACAAAACAGTGCTGGTTAATGATGTAATGGTTACTTGTATGAAAATGGGGCTATTTTTACATTTTATTTTTACATTTTTAAAAAAAGTTTCTAAAAAAAAAATGAAATCGAGTTTGACACCGCTGGTATAGAGGATTTATACTTCCAGAGCTGTCAGTTAAGAATTCTGAGAGGTTTAAGTGTAACTCACTGGAATGTTAGCTGGGGAAATACTAATTTGAAGGAAGGAAGTTTCTCACCAATAAAGGCCAGTTTCTATTTTAGCCATTTACATAATTGGCAATGCACCTAAAGGAACATTATGTCTGCGCATACTGTATTACAGATTCGATTGGAAGAGGTATTTCGGAACTCACAGGAGGGCAAAATGCAGTACCCGTTTGTGACTCATTGAAACAGCTACATCTTATTTCCAGATCTCCCAACCTTGGAAACAGACAGAGCAAGATACTTAGCGTGCGGAGACATTTCTTTACAATCATATCTGCAACACCGCACAATTCCAATGATCCCATTTTGGAGCATTCATCTTAGATGTGAGCAACCCGATCCGCTCTCAAAGTCAGGCTTTCTTTTATTTGCCTTTCCTGCTGTCCGGAAAGTCAGGCTTTCTTTTATTTGAACTCCTGCTGTCAGTGATCTTAAGCATTACCCAGATAGGTCACACGCTGCCTGTCTCTTGACAGCAGTTTTTTTTCTTTTGTATATCAATAATGTAGAATTGAATTATGAACCTTAATACACGTGTATGTGTACATGTGTGTATGTATATACACAACACACAAACACATATACAGTACTCTGGAATAGAATAACAGAGTTGGAAGGGACCTTGGAGGTCTTCTAGTCCAACCCCCTGCCTAGGCAGGAAACCCTATACCGTTCCAGACAAATGGCTANTCTCTTAATAAATTGGAACTTTGAGCAATACTTTGCCTTGGACTCTGATTTACTTTTGGATGCTATTTGGAACTCTGACACCAGGCTCAGAGAGCACCAAGGACCCCTCATTTCAACTCTGAGCTATTCTCCCTTATAGGCTTGCATGGATTTTGAAGACTGGGATAGCTAAAATGCTTCATAAATAAAAGGTACAAAATCTACAAAATCACCTTTTTGATGTCACAGGCTACTGGAAGCACAAACCTTTGTAAATCAAATCACTGTTCCAGATTTAAATATTGGTTCATACAGCACAAAAATTATCAGAATAATTTACTTATGGGCAGATGATAATAGTTTTGTACTAGGATTAGATTTATATCCACATCTTTACAGAATCTCTTAGTTTATGTAGGCAAAGACCAGCTGGAACTGGTGGGTTGAGTCATCACCTTAGAGTTGTTATGTTCCCAGAAATGGTCAAAGTCTAACTCTTCTTAAATTCTCTTGGCACTTATCACCAATTAAGTACTGAACTTTAGTTGACTAGATTCTTGTGTGTAGGCTTGAATAAATTTTCTGTGTTGCAACTTAATGTATGGTATTGATCTTTTGCCCCTGACAGGTTATATTTTATACCCCTGAGACCACATCAATCTTTTAGAGTATCTCTGACTCTGGATGTATATTTATCCTTTATATATTTGATTTGATTGTCCTTTGCTAGCACTGTAAGTAAAGAAACAAGTGCTCCTTGGTTTTCCTTGGGTACAGGTGGAGAAGATAAAACATGAAAGAATGGAATCTAAATTCACCCAAGTTGAAGACTGTTCTTTTTTCATGAACTTGCAAGCAATTTTCCAACCACAAATTGTTTTCCTCTTTTCTCAGCCATACAAGGTGCCCATCCACACCATCTAATCATCTCCTAGGCACACAGTTGGTCACTTTTGCCGTTCCTCTTTCTCTGTGGTTATGGCCTAGGCAGGCAGTGTCCTCCTTTCTCTCTTTTTCATCATTCAATGAAAAGGCCCCTCTCTAGTCACACATTTTCGATGGATCCGCAGTTTAGCAGATAATAGTTCTGGCTGCAACCTCCATCAGTTTGCAAAAGAAAAAAAAATCACACTTTTTGCAACTCTGGAAGCTCATAAACCTAACACATGCAGAGCAATGCAGCTTAGGAGTGGCTTAGCTCAGCAAACGTGGCATTTCTTTTCTCTCTTTCACTGCAACCTCCTACAGCTGCAAATCCAGGTCAGACATGGCTTCAGACTTGGGGAACAGTTGGAGAGGTCAGAAGGTCAAACTTGATCAGTGGCTTGGCAATCACCCGAACCTCCTCATTTAACGGGTTGGATTTTAAGTTCACACACTGCAGAGACTCCATGGAAGCAAGTTTCTCAACAGGAACATCTGTAGGAAGAAGAAACGTACCGTCAAACGCAATTCATCTACCAATGTTTCTTTTAAAATTTGAGAAATCGGTTAATGTTGCTAACCATCAGGATATATATTCAATATATTCAAAACATTAATTTGAAATACATTTGCGGAATGTAATGCAGTGATAAAACTATATCACTGTATGATCCCAGGTGGCGCAGTGGTTAAATGCAGCACTGCAGGCTACTTCAGCTGACTGCAGTTCTGCAGTTCGGCTGTTTAAATC